TAGGGTTTAGGGTTTAGGGTTTAGGGTTTAGGGTTAAGGGTTTAGGGTTTAGGGTTCATTGTTTATAGCCTATTGTTTATTGTGTATTATTTATTGTTTATTGTTTATTTTGTATTCGTTATTCTTTACTGTTTAGGGCTTATTGTTTATTGTGCATTGTTTATTGTGTATTGTTTATTGTTTAGGGTTTAGGGTTTATTGTTTAGGGCTTAGGGTTTAGGGTTTAGGGTTTAGGGTTTAGGGTTTAGGGTTTGGGTGTGTGTGCAGGATTGGTTGCCTGACGGTTGGGGTGTACTGACCTTCCCGTGTGGTTCAGAGTACAGAGGGGAGTTCGCTTCAGGACAGTTTAATAATAAAGGTGTTTTAATAACAGCTAAAGGCATGCAATATGAAGGACAATGGAAGGAAGGGCATTTCGAGGGACAGGGCACACTCAAACACGCTGATGGAGCCACGTAACATACACCCTAAACCCTAAACCCTAAACCCTAAACCCTAAACCCTAAACCCTAAACCCTAAACCCTAAACAGTAAACCCTAAACTCCAAACAATAAACAATAAAAAATGAGCAGTAAACAATAAACAGTAAAGAATAAACAATAAACAATAAACAATAAGCAGTAGACAATCAACAATAAACCCTAAACCCTAAACCCTAATCCGTGAAAGAAACACGCTTCTATTGACTTGATCAGGGGTATTGTTAGTATTATTGTTATAAGTGGGGACAGTGTTGCTGTTGCTGCTGCTGCTGCTGTTTCTGCTACTGCAAGAGTAGCAGCAGCAACACCAGCAGCAACACCAGCAGCAACAACAGCAGCAGCAGCAACAGCAGCAGCAACACCAGCAGGAGGCTGTTAATGCCTTTGTGCTTTATGTTATTTGGGGTGTATATGCAGCTACGTTGGCACTTTCAAAAGAGATATAAAAGACGGATTGGGCGTTGAGACGTGGACAGACGGAACCGTCTATGAAGGCGCCTTTAAGTGAGCTGCCTATACACCCCAACAAACCCTAAACCCTAAACCCTAAACCCTAAATCCTAAGCCCTAAATCCTAGCGTTCTAAACACTTCTTCCTTCACTTTTTTTTCTACTTTTTTGTCGGGCTTGAGATGGTTTATGAAGGCGCCTTTATGTGAGCTGACTATACACCCCAACAAACCCTAAACCCAAAACCCTAAACCCTAAATTATGTTTAGTTTTAATTATGTTTATATTTATTTTGCTGCAGAAATGGAGACAAAGAGGGTAAAGGAAAAATCCGGTTTCCTGATGGCTCATCTTATGAAGGAGACTTCAAAGAAGACCACTTTGAAGGTCCCCCAAACCCTAAACCCTAAACCCTAAACCCTAAACCCTAAACCCTAAACCCTAAAATCCTAAACCCTAAGCACTGAAAGTCTGTGGATTTTGCTCCTCTGACTATTAGCACTTTCGAAAGGGTTTGTTTTTCGTGTTTTGTCGTATGCTGTATGCTCTCCAGGGTTTAGGGTTTAGGGTTTAGGGTTTAGGGTTTAGGGTTTAGGGTTTAGGGTTTTGTTTGCAGGGGAGGGTGTTTATGTGTGGAAGGATAATCGTCGGTACAGTGGAGGCTGGCATAATGGTTTGATGGAGGGGTTTGGGGTGTATGTGTGGTCATCGGGGTTTATAAAGAAATATGAAGGCGAATTTAAACAAGGTGTTAAAGAGGGTAAAGGTATTCTCTGCCTCGCAGACGGCAGACAATATAAAGGGGTTTTCAAACAAAACAAACTCCAAGGAGAAGTGCAAGAAATCATGCCCAGCGGAAGAACCAGACTAGGCAAACCCTAAACCCTAAACCCTAAACCCTAAACCCTAAACCCTAAACCCTAAACCCTAAACCCTGAACCTTTAACCCTAAACCCTAAACCCTGCAAATCATGCCCAGCGAAAGACTCAGACTAGGCAAACCCTAAACCCTAAACCCTAAACCCTAGGAAGAACCAGATTAGGCAAACCCTAAACACTAGACCGTAAACGCTAAACCCTAAACCCGAAGGTCTGGACCCTAAAGATTGTCACATGTTGCATCTGTTGCTGCTGCTATTGCTACTGTTGCTGCTGCTACTGCTGCTACTCTACTCTTCCTGCTTCTCCTGCTGCTGCTCTCCTGTTGTTGCTGCTGCTGCTGCTGCTGCTACTCGTACTAATCTTCCTGCTCCTGCTGCTGCTGCTCTCTTGCTACTGCTGCTGTTACTCCTCCTCCTGCTCCCCCTCCGGCTGCTCTCCTGCTCCTGCTGCTGTTGCTGCTGCTGCTGCTGCTGCTGCTGCTGCTGCTGCTGCTGGTGTTTAGGGTTATGGAGTGAGGGACAGTTTGTGCGGTGGTTGGAAGCCCCTGCGAAGATTTCTTTAAAAGAAAAAGAAAGAGACACAGACAAAGACGAAGAATACGGCACTTCAATCTTCTCCAACCCGGATGCATACACCCAAGCCTATAAGGTACCTCCATATACACCCCAAAACCCTAAACCCTAAACCCTAAACCCTAAACCCTAAACCCTAAACCCTAAATCCTTGTTTTCTTTTTCTAGGGGAGAAAACAAATAGAAATAAAAATAAAATATATCTACAGCATTAAATATAACTTATCTTTTTCTTAATATATATATATATATATATATAGACATATATATATATATGCATGCATATTCCTCTTTGTGTATTTATTTATTTGTTTATACATAAAATATATTTCGTTTGTTTGTTTAAATATAAATTGCAGGCATTCTCTATGTATTTATTTGTTTATATTTGATATTTATACATATTTATTTATTTGTTTGTATTTAATATATATATATTTATTTATTTATATTTAATATTTATTTTAATGATATACTTTTTGGTGTTGTTGCAGACAAGAGAGAGAAAAAGAATGAAGATAAGAGGCGGCGTTCTTAGAAGCAAAACAAAACCTAGAGAGGAGGCAGCAGCAAGCAATGCGTAGAGGCAGCAGCAATACTCTCAGCAGCAGCAGCCACTTCCTGCTGCAGCTGCTGCTGCAGCTGCTGCTGCCGCTGTGTTGCTGTTGTTGTTCTTGCTGCTGCTGCTGCTGCTCCGTGATAGAGGCATCGTCACATCTAACCTCTACCATTAGTTGTTACAGCGATTGCAGCAGCAGCTGCTGATGCTGCTGCTGTAGCAACTGCAGCAGCAGAAGCAGCAGCAGCTGCTGCTGCTGCTGCAGTTGTTGGTGCTTGCAGTATGTGCTTCATGTGATGCCTCCTTAAGTTCAGGCGAATTCCTTAGAGGAGACATTGCAGCAGAAGCTGCAGCAGTAGTAGCTGCTGCAGCTGCTGCTGCAGCTGCTGCTGTCGCAGCAGCAACTGGTGCTGCTGCAGCAGCACCAGTTGCTGCTGGGGCGTCAGTAGAGTAGACCCGGTGTTTTTGTATTTTATTTGTCTGCCGATATATTCACCTTAATTTATATTTTATTTTTAATATTAAATTAAAAAACAAAGACAGGCGAAGGATCGCCAAGGCAGCAGCAGCAGCAGCAGCAACAGGAGCAGCAGCAGCAGCAGTAGCAACAGTAGCAGCAGCAGCAGCAATTTGCTTAACCACACGAAGAAGCAGCCAACGAGCAGCAGTAGCAGCAGCTGCTGATAATAGAAACAAATAGTAGATAATAATAAAACATAATAAATAATAAAACATAGTAAGTAATAAAAATAAATAATGCTAATATTAATTACAAACAAAACTAAATATTAAATAAGAATGATAGACACAATAAACTGTTAATAATATAAATAAGAGTAAATAATAATAAATAATAATAAATGCTGATAAACGATAATGTAGTATTGTCTGTCTATACATATACATACATATATAGATATATTTGTATATATATATATATATATGTATATATATATATATGCATATATATATATATATTATATTAGTAGAACAACAACTGAGAAGAAGAGACAGAGACAGACTCAGACCCTCCCTCTATCTCTTTTCGTCTGTTTGTTTGCTTCCTTATATATATATATATATATATAAAGCAATATAATTATAAATATATATCTATCTATCTATATTGCTTATATATCTATTTATCTTTGTTTATCTGTCTTTGTTTGTGCTCAAAGAAATGCATTTATAAATATAAACATCAAACAGCAATTCTACTGCTTTATACGGTTCGCCCCAACAGAAGAAAAACCCCTTTGCTGCTGCTGCTGCTGTTGCTGCTGCTGCTGCTGCTGCTGCTGCTGCTGCACGCGTTGCAGCCGCAGCAGCAGCACATCTACCGCAGGAGAATATGCAGCAGCAACAGCAGCTCCCGCTGCCGCTCCCGCTGCTGCTGCTACAGCAGCAGTAGCAGCAGCAAGTGCAGCAACAGCAACTGCAGCAGCAGCTGCTGCAGCAGCTGCAGGTTTACTCAACTGAGCGAATAATATCGCTGTCTCCAGGGTCTGTGACAGCTAAACAACTAACTCGAAATAGCTTGCCGCAGGCTGTACCCAACTCATTGTTGTCTGCAGCAGCAGCAGCAGCAGCAGCAGCAGCAGCAGCAGCAGAAGCAGCAGCAGAAGCGGAATTGCAAGCATGAGGGCAGAGGCGTTGTAGACATTTCTTACAGAAAGTAAACACCAAAAACCCTAAACCCTAGAAACCCTAAACCCTAGAAACCCTAAACCCTAGAAACCCTAAACCCTAAACACCCTAAACCCTAAGAACCCTAAACCCTAGAAACAATACAAACCCTAAACCCTAGAAACAACTGAAACTGCCTACACGCCCTAAACCCTAAGGTCTACAAACCCTAAACCCTAAACCCTAAACGCCATAAACCCTAAAGGCCTACAAACCCTAAACCCTAAACCCTAAACCCTTAACCCTCACCTCCAGGGTAATGATGTACACCGCATTTTGCTAGCATTGCATAATACTCAACTTCGGACTTGCGAAGTGCAGGGCAGTTGTTGCTGATGATAATTAGCTTTGCTGTAGCAAAAATAAATAAATAAATATAAATATATATAAATATATATAAATAAATAAAATATAAAGAAGCATAAAGAGACATGCAAGGAATAAAGAAATATAATAAACTGCAGCAAAAATATAATAAAAGATAAACAATAAAAATAGAGCAGCAAATTATATAGTGCAGCAACACGCAAACAGAAACAAAACACAAGCAGCAGCAGCAGCAGCAGCAGCAGCAGCAGCAGCAGCAATACCAGCAGCAACAGCAGCAAAGACAAAGAACAAGCAGCAAATGAAGAAGGGGGGGAAATAGAAGAAGACAAACAAATGCAGATAAAACAACAAACGTGAATAAACAACACCAGCCTAAAGAAATAAAACAATTGCAGACTCATACACGCTGCTGCTGCTGCTGCTGCTAAGCGTCAGCAATAGACAGGCCTCTCTATAGGCAATACTAAGAAGCGTTTTCAACAGCAGCAGCAGCAGCAGCTGATGCTGCTGCTGCTACTGTTCTTGTTGCTACGAGCTTCGCCTTGCCCAGAGAGCAGCAACAACAGCAGCAGCAACAGCAGCTGATGCAGCAAACCAGCCTCAGCAGCTACTGCTGCAGCACGGGCACCGCAAGCATCACTAAAAATACCAGCAGCAGCAGCAGCAGCCACATCAATAGCCACAGCAGCTACATCAACAGCCACAGCAGCAGCCACAGAAGCAGCAGCAGCAGCAGCAGCAGCAGCAGCAGCAGCAAATGTATTACCCTTGCCGGTTCTGAGTGAGTGCACAGCGGTTTTAACCCCAAGACAAACTTTTCCGCTCTTCATCACAAGCTGAAGACGAGAGTTAATTCCGTCGGCCCCTTGCTTTTGTTTTCGCGCCATCTTCTCGGGTGTATAGGCAGCTCGTGGGGCAGCGGTATCTGCAGATACACCCGAAAAAATTAATTGAATTCTTCTATATTAGTCTTTTTAATCAAAGGATTAGCAGCAGGGATATATACACAAACTTATTCACACACCCCACCATCATGCAGACCTATTTATACCCTTATCCTGCTGTTGCTGCTGCTCCTGCTGCTGCTGCTGCTGCTCCTGCTGCTGCAAACAAACTCACAAAGATTTCTTCGCCCAAATTCAGCCGAAGGAAAAATAAACTCCACTGTAGAATTGCTGCTGCTGCTGTTGCTGTTGCTGATGCTCCTATGAAGACCCCGCGGCTGCTGCTCCGCAGCCCCACAGCAGCAGCCGCTGCTGCAGCTGCTGCTGCTCATGCTGCTGCTGCTACTGCTGCTGCTGCTGCATGCAGCTGTAGCTGCAGCTGCATGCAAAAACTTTAGGCCCCGAACTATTGTCTTTAATTATAAATTTTTGCGATTTGCTTCTGCATTTGTCTTGAACTTCCTACTGTTGCTGCTGCTGCTGCCGTCGCTGCTGCTGCTGCAGCACCGGTTGCTGCTGCAGCAGAATGGCGACCTTCTGCCAGAATAAACACAGCTGGGGCGGCTGCAGGTTCTTATGAGATGCCTGAAGGTTCAGCAGCAACAGCTGCTCTTGCTGCTGCTGCTGCAGCAACAGCAGCAGAGGCCGCTGAGCCAGCTGCCGCCCTGCTAGCGCAACAGCAACAGCAGGAACAGCAGCAGCCGCTGCTGCAGCAGCAACAGCGGATGCAGGTTCACAACGAAGGGCAGTTAATGTCCCTGATGCTGCAGCAGCAGCAGCAGCAACAGCAACAGCAGCAGCAGCAATGCCAGCAGCATGCACAGGATGAGCCTATGGAGTTGATAGGGGAGCAGCAGCAGCAACAGCAGCAGCACTTTGAAAGAGGATCTGCAGCTCGGCAGCATTTATTGCGGCTGCAGCAGGAATTGGAGAGGCATGAACAGCAGCAGCAGCAACAACAGCAGCAGCAGCAGCAGCAATGCAAACTGCAGCAGCTGCCGCTGCAAACCTGGAGAGAGGTTGAGCATCTCTTCACCACTCGCGGTGTACAGCTGGCCGATCTAGCGCGTAAGACAGCAGCAGCAGAAGCAGCAGCAGCAGCAGCTGCTGCTGCTGCTACTGCTTCTGGAAGCGAAGACAAAACCACTCCTCCTTCCCCCACCGAAGCAGCAGCAGCAGCAGCAGCAGCAGCAGAGTCTCCGGCTGAGGACGCAGCAGCAGAATCTCCATCTGCAGCAGCAGAATCTCCATCTGCAGCAGCAGAATCTCCATCTGCAGCAGCATCAGCAGCAGGGGCATCCACCTCCGCAGCAGCAGCGGCAGCAGCAGCAGCAGCAGCGGAGGCAGCAGCAGCAGCAGCAGCAGCAGCAGCAGCAGTTCCTGAAGGCGTAGATGAGTTGCTGTTTGATGGATTACCGAAGCAAAGCCTTCTTCTTGATCCGCTGCTGCTTCCTGTGGGGTTGCTGCAGCAGGAGCAGCTGCCGCTTCCTCTCCCTTCGTTTCCTTCTTCTAGGCTGCTGCTGCTGCAGCGGCGCTGGCTGCTGCAGCAACACCAGCAGCAACAGCAGCAGCAGCAGCAGCAGGAACAGCAGCA